ATTTGATTAATAATAATATTAATCCATCAACATTTTATAATTTTAACGAACATAGTTTGGTTCTATGTTTATCAGTAAGTCAGTCGGGACTCCTATCTGGTTATAAACTATACAGATAGATTTAGTCGTATAGATACAAGATCCAATATAACGTCTATTTTATATTTTGGTAAGACCATTTTGAAATATTCTTTGGATTATTCATAATATATACATTTTAATATCTCAAAAACTACTTTCGTCAAAGCTTTTTTTTCCATTAGCTTAATATTTTATTGTAAAAAGGGTTAGACTCCACTTATTGTCACTTATTGATTCTCATATCTATATAGAGTGAATTCGGGTACGAGTATTTAGTGATAACGCCGGACCGTAGTTTGGTTTTCCCATCCGTCGAATACGTGAGGGCTGTGGTGTCCAAAGCCGGACTTAAACAAGGACTGAGTTCGATTCCGGTCGTGATGGACTGCAGACACATACAAGGAGCTGACTTTACCGCGGCTAAAGTACGTAGGAGTTCGACTATTTTAAGTCAATACGCGTCGTATTGTAGATAGCATTGATTATTATTTTTATTGTTTTTTTGACACAGGGCGTCAAATCTCTAATAGACGACTTTGTCAGGAGAAATCAACCATTGGTGTTCTACAATGTCAAACCTAGTGTGATATCGATTTTCCAAGGTGTTCGGCCGACTGAGTTTAACTGTTGTTTCACCGAACAGCAATTGCACGAAAGACTAAAAGGTATTTATTATTAATTGATGAAAATTTTTTTTCCAAATTTAAGCATTTTAATGCACGCTAGAAGGAYATCATATCCGCACCCCGCCTTAYAAGTTATACAACATACGAAATTTGTGTTTAGCAAATCTTGTTTTATGTTATTAGCTTTAATATTAGAATCAGTTCATATATTAATATATTATGAAACTTAAATAACATTGTCTGTGTGTTTACACCAACGAGGGGAAGTTCTCTCAAATGGTTAAAAAGTTCTCAGACGTTAAGTTACTCGTAAACGGTCTTCACTGCATTCCGATGAATATATATTTTCTTAGATCTTTGTAGTACAATCAAAATTGAAATCGATTCTCATAATGTATCATAGTGTTTTATCCTTAAGTATAATACATGTATGCGATTATAACATTCGAGTAAGTCATTGATCCGGGTAGGACACAGGTCGATGTACTTTGTCGTGGGTATTACATTTGAGGTGTGTCGTATTGTTTCGTTTTGCGAGACACTGAAAAAAATTTTGTGTAGAGATCATTTTCACGTTGTATAGTAGAATGTACATAATCATAAGTTTGTAAGTTTGTAATAAATTTCTTTGAATCATAATTAATCTGTAGTTAACGTTGCATATTTATCTTTTAAATTTATCAAAATTAAATAACGAAAACACAAAATATTTAAAAAAGATGCTAAAATGTATGATTATAAAAAATAATGCACACCACATGATAATTTTCATTCCCTCAAAAGTGTTTCGAATATTTCGATAAGTTTTAAAAACATTGTGATTAATAACTATTAACTATTATAATATATAATTTCTATTAAGTTCCTTTATTAATAAAGCGTACCTTTATGGCATAGTCAATGATGCATTATTAATGGTATAGCTATATTAATTTTGAACTTAAACAATTCTATTAGAAAACTAACTAAACAATAATACAATATATAAAGGAATAATAGTACAATGGTAGTATTACTCCGATACCTAATTATTATCATATTTTATTTTAAAATCATTATAAAACATATACATTCATATATTTATACATATTGTTTGTATTTGTTTCAGGGTATTATTATAGCCGAATGCAGACGCTGACATTATAACATTGACATTTACATTAAATATTGTCCCACCTTGTCATTGTACAGACTAAACTATGTAAATAAATGTTAATATTATTAAAAAATAATTTGTAAATTATGAAGAGATCTTTTACACAAATAAGGAGTTAATTAAAATAGACAGTTATGTTTCAAACATTTTCCTTAACCGACTTAACCATTTGTTTATTAAATAGTAGTTATATCATTGTTAATAAATAATTTGAAATTAATTAAACACATCGGTATTATTATGTAAGTTTGTGTAAGTTAGTCTATTTTATTTATTGTAATTAATGTATTAGTACAGTATTATTAAGTACTTTTTTTTTTTTTTATTAAGAATAAGCCCTCGGCGACATCGGCCATTGGGAACTCTTATTATTAAGTACTGCTATTTTTTACAATCAACAATTTTTTTAATTTTGTAAAACACAAATTTGAAGTACTGTAATGTATAAAACTACTTTGTGTGTATGAAAATTAAATGTTGCAACTCGCAATCCTATTACGTATATTTCTATAAAAAATGTCGTTGTTTATAATATTATGATTGATGAACTTTGCTTACCTAATTACATATTTTCTGAAAATTTAAATAAGCATTATTTTAGATATTGTGTACCGAGTGTCCGATATATTGATTTCATGATGAAGTGTGTGAACCTTTTTTCAAATGTTATGTTAAATGTAAATCAYGTATTTCAATCCATTTTTCGTCTCGTATAATAGTCAAATAAATAGTTTCTTTGATTTCCAGATAATTTATTTAGGATAGTAATTAATAATAATGGGTTTACTTAAAATGGTTTCCGTAAAAATAAATCAACTTTCACCTTCAATTTGATGATTTTCATAATGATTTAGTGSAATAATTTAGTGTCCAAGTTTATGAAATATTCATTGATATTATTAAGTCTTTTGATATAATAAATAGGAATATATTAATAAATCACATTGATACTATTGGTGTTAGATGTCCTATCGTGGTTTAAATCATAATACCTAAATAATATCATATACCCAATACCCCTATTCGAATTTAACAAGTTAAAATAGTAAATTAAWTTTCTAAAAACATTATCGTAACCTCTAGAGTTTCACTAAAAAGTCATCTTTCGCTTTTACTATTAATAATTTGTGTCATTGATATATATGTAATATATTTAGATATTGTAAGTCTAGGTTATTTGTAGATTGATTATTAAAGCTATTTATGCCAATATCTTCAATTGATAATTGTAATAAGTTACATTATGATCTCAATTAATTCAGCCTAGTATGTTGTACAGATGTGCAAATAACAATTTAAATTTAAATCGGATAAATGCATTGAAATTACATTCTCTAGAAAYAGGCAGAATTTAATTTTAATTTTAATAACTGTCATATATTCAACAAAAAAACTTGGTGTCACTTCTAAAGTTAAAGAATTAGGTATTACTTTTTCTAGTGATCTTACATTGACCAAACATGTTTGATGAAATCCATAATAAAACTACATATTTTTGGGTTTTCAAAAYGTAATTTCTGGGACTTTAGGCGTAACATGATCCAATTTGCTTGCATTTTTTACATTTCTCTTTCATACGATCGATTTTGGAATACCATTCCATAATCTGGATCCTTCATTAAGAGTATCTTATTAAAAAATTATAATGCATTCAAAATCGATTTTAACATATGTTGGCTTATAAAACAATGTTGATTTATCGTAGCAATCATTAGCTTTAAAATGTGGAAACACTTGGAATTAAAAAGTCAATTTAATGTACCTATAGGATAAGATTTGTATAACTAGCTCATAAAGTTCATATAATGATTATTCTATACTATCTTATTCATACTATAATTTATTAATCTTTTAAATAATGTGTAAATKAATAATTTTCTCCAAATAAATTAAATGAAATTTAATATTTMATATTTCCATAAGATAGGTTAATTTTACTATTATTTTTAAAATAATAGTATAAAAATAAACGGTTACTTTTAAGGTTTCGTAATGGACCAATTTATTAATTGTTTTAATTACAAATAACTTTTTTTTCTTAGAAATTTAATTWACGTAAATTGTAAATTTTTAAATTTACCTATTTGTTTATATGACAAAAAGTATATTTTTCGTTTTGTCTAAATATTTAAATACGCGATAAGCCTAAAATTATTTAAAATTTTTTTGTACATATAAACTTGAATTCTCTGAATTACTTTCGTGATACGAGTTTCCTCAATCACTAATCAGCCCTAAACAATTAAATTTTGGTCACGATACAAAAAAATTGAATTTAATGTTATTTTTAAACATCATAAAGGTGTTAAAAATACATTTAAATAAATACAGTGGAGTTATTGTGTCCTTGGTTCAAATATAGATTCCGACATCAATAAAGTTTTGGAATTTTGAACTGCTGTCAAAAACGCTAACATATCTTTTCACCTCGTTTATTTAATATATTTTTATTAATTTTAATGACAATTGCTATTTTTATTGATGATCATTGATTGCCGACTGAGCAATCGATTTCTGTAGGTCAMTGCAGTATAGGTTCGCGGGATTCGGTGCTAACATGTTCAATTATCTATTATAGTGATCAGTGTAGTTAATAGCACACCACATCTAGTATTAACAGTTTGAACGTTATTGTTTAATTTGTTGAATGTACGAATATTATATAGCAACATTCGATTTCAAAGGCAAATGATTTTATACAATCGTACTTATAATATTTGGAAAGAAATTCAATGCAAGTTTATATTGAACACTACATTTCTATATGACACTACATAAATGTTATATATCATTTGTTAAATGATTTCAATACCTTGCTACTATCAATATATTTAGAAAAATAGTATTTTTATTTTAAAAATTCAGATAAACCATATTTTGTATAAATAATTAGGTGATAGGTGAAATCATAAATACCTTCATAAATGTTATAAATAGGTAGATTTAGGTATTAGGTTTAATTATAGTTAATTTTATGTATAATAAAAATTTGTAGTATTTAATAAATGATCAAATAGGACGAGGTAGTTAAGTTTAAGTTAAGTGATTGGTATTTTTATTTTGAGATTGGCTAAATAATAAATATACATATCAACAATTCAAAATTGAATATATTTATTTTATCGTGAAAAAAAGAAAGAGACAATAATTAAATTTTTTCAAATACAATAAAATAGTTTTTCCGTACTCATATATGGAATATATCCGTTTATATAGGGCTACAGGTGCAGAACAATATTTCTGTTTTAATATACTACTCACACTTTTAATATGCAAATTCTGAAAACATAAATATCAGAACTAAAATCTATAACTTCATTAATAACTATACCTATCAAGTAAGTTCTTTTAAATTTAACCTAATGTTCCTTAAATTTAGAAGTATACGCACGTAATATACGTGTATAGTAATTTATATAAGTTAATTGTTATCATAATGTTTACTTCAATCATTAGAACCATTCTATACTTTTTACGATAAGTCTAAAAATAGGCGATTTAAAACTAATAGGTTGTAACACAACTAAACAAGTAATGAAGTAATAGTAATAAATAGTTCAACTATCATATAAACACACATAATTATTATAATAGGTAAAGTTGTAGAATAATATAAAATTCCTGGCAAGACTAATATTGGCGACGCCGTTTTCCAAATATATATCATGGAAGTATTAATAAAATAGTTTGACATAATCGTCATGGTTAGTTATTAGAAACAAAATGGATTCAAGCCACGCAAGAATAGTGTGGGCGTTGTTTTAAATGTTTTATCTTATAATTTAATGACACTTGTAGAATTCATACGCTTCGCCGTCGCTATTTTCCAAAGGGAGCAACTGTTGAATGCATTCATCGGGAAGGTACATGAATTTTTGAACTTCTTCGCGATCTGAAGGACAGCAATGTGGTACCACGTTCTCGCTGGACATCGAAACACGCAATGCCAGCATTTTCTAAAATCAAAATAATTCAAATTCAATATATTTATATGTTTTTACAGTCACATTTTTGAGAGAAAAGACTGATGAATCAGATTTATTTTTTTATTTTTAGAACTTTCAGTATAACTATTATAGTTCAACAATATTACAATATTGATAGATACAGTGATATAATAAGTAATAATTGGTAATTAATAATAATGAGCATATGATATAATGATAGATAAGATAATGACGTCCGATAAAGATAATCAGAACGGAATATTAGTGTATATTGTAACAGAAATAATATTAAAAGTAAATTTTATAATTATTATGATAATGAATTCATTATTATTATAGCGGAAAGAAAATAATTAATTATGGAGGTTAAATCGGATAGGAATTTTGATAGAGCTAATTTTAAATTTGAGTTTTGTGGATTGATGTTTGGTTTGGAACCAGAAGTAGCAGCCGCATATGACAGGATGGATTGAGAGGGGTCAATGTGGAGGGACTCGGAGGATAAGTTTTTTGTATATGTGATAATTTTTTTGGAGTTTGAAGACTTGATTTTGTAGCGATTTAGAATGGTTTGGTAGAACTGGCACGTATGATTTTCGGAACAGTGGACGCATTTAGCTGGGCTGGAGTGATCCTTGGTGCAGCTATCTGAATCATGAGCCTCGCTGTATTTGACGCAACGCGATAGATGATGGCAGTAGTTTTGCGTGTGACCATAGTCTTGACAATTGAAACGTTGCGGCGAACCATGTGTCGTTTTATTCGGTTTTTCAATCACTACTTTCGTGTTTAGTAATGAAGTAATGTTGTAGATATATTTATTATTAACATTAGGTTGGATGTCGTCAAAAAAGATACGGAGAGGACATTTATTTTTACTAATATTGCGGACTTTCCTTAATATGTGTCCATTTCCCGACATTGCGGACGAAATGTCAGCACTGAGAGTAGAATGTTGGAGGTTTCTGATAACGATCCTAAAAGGGCGTTTAGAGCGAGGACGAAAAGAATAGAAACTGGTGTTAGTCTCCTTAAAATAATTTGTCAATACATTGAAATTTTCGCGACCATTGGGATGGACGATAAGGTATGAAAGAGTGGACTTATATGTAAACCCCTTGGGTCCGACGGTCTTCATTAATGCATTCTTGAATGCGGAAAAGTTATTGATGTTTCCAATGTAAAAAGGTGGAGCCAAGGGCTCAGCCTGATCAAAAGGGAGAGATGAAGGTACATCAGTGATTTCGCGGGAAGGTGGCGCCGCATCAAACACAGAGTCATCGTTAGTGTCGATTGAGGCAAGAACAGCGAAGCGATTTGGTGAGGTGAAAGTTTTGGTCTTTTTCCCCTCATGAAGAGGAGAATTTGGAAGAGAACTGGATAATATTTTTTTTTGATGGCGTAGGCTTACGAGGTGGACTTTTACCGGAATGAATCATAAGAATATATACGTTGAAAACGAAAACGCAATTTACGGAATTAAAATACAGATAATAATATACTAACATAATAGCATGTGTTCATGGTGAACGTTATCGCCAGACTGGAATCAGAATTAATACATTATATTTTATTTTAAGGATTACTTGCTATAGTGGGAGATAAAAATTTGTTTAGAACACGCTCAATTATTGTACATTTAAGGGTGTCGGAGATTAACAAGAATCCGTGAAATATATTATTACCTACGCAGTACGAGGGAAACTTGTCAAAACTGAGAAATCTAAACGAATACCTCTTACCTTTCTGTTTCCTCGTGATGCTATTGTATGATCGACAATACGATTAGGATAGTCCTTGCCAATAATGCATCCTACCTGTTTTTGGACTGATTCTGGGCACTTCCATGGTTCATACAGATATTGGGCGGGCATATTTTTTAATTCAGGAACATATCGTCTGTGAACATTGGATTAATATGAATGCTTATATTTTGAAAATGTCCTTATTAAAGACCGTACCTAATGTATTCGCCAGATGGGTCAAGTCTTAAACCGTAACTGACAGGGCAAACGCACAAAGGACAGTCCAACAGCTGTTCAAACGTAGAGCTTGACACCCAAATCCAGTTACCGGCGCAGACAGAAAAATCAGCATCTAGCAAATATTTCATAAAATGATTTAACCCTTCGACCCAGCTAATCCAGAGGTCACCTCTTGTTAAAAAAGATGCCAACGAATTTCGTACCACGTGGTGAACCCATCCTTCCTAGATAAACAACGAGTATGTTGTGAAACGGAAAGTGATATTTGTATACTAGCAGGTACAYCTAAATACCCAAAACTGTTAAATTTAGGCACCTGCATCAATTGTCTCATCCCGGCATCTATGAAAGGATATCCAGTTTTACCGGATTTCCAACATTCCAACATCTTTTTATTTTCCGGAATTTTAACATCATTCCAAGGTATTGAAATACACGCTGGGTTATCCTCAATTTGGCCAAAATTTTTGTTGTCAATAGACATGGTGTAAAAGTAATCCCTCCAAATGAGTTGGCTAGTCACGCTGTACTGAGGTAATAAATCGCCTTCAAATTGTTTGATAAACAACTTTGAAAGTTCCCAGTGAAACCTAACGAAAAGTTACCGTTTACAATATATGTTTACATATAACGTAAAATATATTAATTTTTTTTCTTTTAAATAATATATCTTTTACTTTCTTATGGATAAGCATCCATATCGTAAAGCCGCGCTGAGGCTGGATGGTGGGCTTAAAAGGTCAGGATTTACTTGGTTGGGCAAGTAAAACCCATTAACAAACGCTTCCCTTTCATATTCAAGACGTTCTTTTAACTGTTCTAAAGCTCTGGTTTCACCTCCGTACCAACGGTATGGAGTTGTTAAATTTTCTGGAATTTCTGGATAAATTCCAAAAGTTTCTGGAGTCGGATTGTTTAAGATCTAAAAATGTATGCACATTAGTAAAGTAAATTTTTGATAAAAAAAAAAAAAAAAACTAAAAAATACAATATTTCAACATGTACTGTATTAAAAGTACTAATATGATGTATCTATTTTTTTTTAAATAAAAATACCTTAAATTCGTCTAGCATAGAAGCTGGAAGTTCCTCAAAAATTACACTCAACCAGTCTAAATTACCTACTGGTATTGGAGGATGACCAATTTGGTTCGCTATATTCTAAAACATTTAATGTGCATTTTTATTTTCTGTAATAGATAATATTACCGATTACTCACTTGGAACTGTTTAAAAGTAAACGGTGGTACTCCACCGTTTTTTTCGATTATTGTTTTTGGATTCCATAGTGTATGGGAAACTTTCTCAATATATTTTACACCATTTTCATCGCAAAATGCCTTCACCTTGTCATCACGACTCCTACCAATATGGTCACAATCCTAAAATTATAAATATTCTAGAACAGCTGGAACTATCTATGTTAAAAAAAATTATAAAGGTATATATATTTATGTATTATATAAAATACCTGTTCAAAAGTAATAAAATTGAGGCCTATCTTTTCTTTGATAATTTTAAATATATTAACAGGGTTTCCTCGAAGTATATACAAACGTCCTCCAACCAAAGTTAAATTGTTATTCAGGTCAATTAAACTCTCCAGAAGAAATCGCATTGGATTGTATCCATACCATGTCGGATCTAAATAAATATAAGTAGTTTATTACATGTTGAAAAATTAAAAATTWATTTATTTATCTAATCAAAAACAAATGAGTATCAAGTGTCAACACAGGTTCAAAATATTTTAACCATACATATCTTTATTATACTTTATCCGTAATATAGACTTTAATATTGTAAAATACATCAACTTTTATAAGCAATTTTTCCGGCTGCGTAGAGTTGATTTCCGGGTTACATACATGTATTTTTTCAATGCTTAGTAAAATATTTAGCCTATTAGCATAACTCAAGAAACACCATCACGAGGAGATTGGCTGACAAGTTTCTCAAAAATGTTGTTTTTTTTAGTTTTTTCATATTTTTAAAATCATTCAATTTTTATTTATAAATTATATTTTATACTATATTATATTATATTTATTATTTATTAAAAAAAATATCAAAAACATTTAAAAATTTGGTAAAAATGTCTTTCCCATTGTTATTATAAATTGGTATCTGCAGTCAATGAGATTATACAACAATAGGGAATCAACTCATACCCAACTCTTAATGACCCGGGAATCAACTAATACATAAAATAGGTCTCGGGAATCAACTAATACATAAAATAGGTCTCGGGAATCATCTCACCTATCGCGATTTTCCCAGCAAGATTATAAATAATAATTTGCCTTTTAAAAAATAAATGAATTATACTTGAGTATTTTCAATTATCAAAATGTGTTATTAAAAAAAAACTAAGATTTATATTTTGATATTTTATTGGCATTATATATTTATTTAACTGCTTTTATCACAATAAAAAACAAAATTATTTACACAATATAACACAGTAAAATAATTTCAACCTCACGATCTCATGATCATGTCAAATTAAAAACATATTTTAACGATTGTTTACGAAGACTTTATAGTGCCATTATTATTTCAATCAGGTATGTGTTTTTCTATAATTAAAACTATAATGTATATATTTAGTTCCATTGGGTATTTAATTAAAATGTGTTATAAAATATTATTTTAATGATATTATTCTTAATTCATTGACCCATTAATAATTGTCCATATCGTAAACAGTTTCAAATATTTATTTATTATTCACGGTTTAGTAACTTCGATGTCTACCTGGGTGGCTGGGCCACAGACATAATATAGAATCGTAAATAATATTTTATTTATGCTTTATTTAAAATTGTGATCAGTGTTCACTGTCACACTTTACATAGATACCATTTAATCACTAATTTTACGATCGATTACTATTTTTACATAAATATATATATATCATACTTGATGTAATGTATTCCATATTTCCATGTGGAACTATATACTTACTGAACGTTGTTTCGTCGAAAATGTACAGTGTAAGAAGTTTTTCGGCATTGTTATGAGCTTCAATCAAGGCTGGGTTGTCGTGCAACCTTAAGCCGTTTCTAAACCAATGGACAGCGACTGTCATAATTACCGTTTTACGACCTGCACAAACAATATGATATGATATAATTAAGTATGTCCCATAGTAAATTGTAAATAAGTTATATTTATAATAGTTTCAACATTAAGATTTCGGTTTCGGGCGATAACGATGCAATATATCTATATAGTAGATGGGCCTTCAACACGTGCCCCGAAAATGATCCTCGTGAACAAATTTTAAATATAACAAATATTTGTTCAACTACCATTAATTTAACTAGTTCTGCCTTTAGTTTGTATGTGTATATACTATACAAGTGTACAATATAAAAACGACTGTAAAACTATCACTATATGTATTTTTACTTAGCGTAAATACAAGGATACAAATTACATTTAGCAACTCATAGCTTTAAAAATGAATTCCTTCTTTGATAGCATTTAGACTTAAGGTGAATACCATTTTTAACAAACGAAGATTGTTGAATCAAAAACTAGAGTTTAGTTAATTGAACGAACATGTCCCCAACCCTACCCAATCAAAAATATGACACATTATTTTAAGTCAACATTTAGCAGTCACTTTGCAAACTATTTCTACAGTTTGCTAGCCTTTAGTTTTATCATAAAACCAAAAAAACTAGGAGTGGATCTGAAGACACTAGTCCACAGCCCCACTCATATCATTGAAAATACTTTTTGAAATCATTCTTGAACCATAATTTAGCAGCTAATTAGCAACGATTAATAAGGTTGTGTAGAAATTTGAAAAACAATATTTCGTCCGTAAAAAAGGTTTCCAAAATTCGCACATATCTCCATAGCTTCACCCCGTACTGAAATAATACGATTATTATTATTATTCTATAATATTTCTAAGTAGGCGTATTTTATTATATTATTGTGAAATATATTTATAAAATATTTTGTCCAAACCAACGGCTTGCAAATTGTGGAAATAGTCTTGAAATTCTTGTTAATTGACTTCTAAATGTTGGCTTAAAAAAATGTCATCTTTTCGATTGTGTGAAATTGGGGAACATGTATCTGTTAATTTACGCTCATAATCTATAGTAAACTCACTGATGATAGCTTCGTCTCAAGTAGTGAATAGAAAACAGTKTCGAATATCCAATTTAAAATAATATTTATATATATATATATATTATTTTAAATTGGAAAAATATTTATATATCCTTAAAGTTTTAAGATATAAGATAACATAAATTATTCTTGGAAAAATTGATTTAAATTTAAAAATATATATAAAATATGACTACCTACTCGTGTTCCTGTGTTAGTATAAATAATGTAAAATACATAATAAGTTTTATTATGTAACTGTCATTGTGTGTGGGCTACGATGGCTACTCTTCTAAATATATGTTTTATAGAAAATATTGACAATATTCTGATACTGTAGCCGATTGTCTAAATAAAAATTGTTGTTTTTAAAATTTTAACCAGCTACACAAATTGTATTACTCATTTTAAAATTTTGAATAAAATTTTTTTCTAGTAGGTAATTCGAAGAAATGTATAACACTTAATCTTCAGATTAAAATTCAAGTATTACACTTATTATTTTTCTTGGAAGTTATTTTAAATTTTTTTAAAATCTACTTAACTTTTATTATCATCTTATACCTATAATAGGCGTAGGTACCTAACTATAATTTTTTTAAATGGTTATATACAAAATGTAATTCTATAATATTGTTTTGTTTATAAGACTTATAAGTTTAGTCGAGTTTGGAATATTGCAAGATTGCAACTCCAGTTGATAGTGTACTTATGTGAACATTTTTGTTGCATAGATGAACAGTTTAATATATTATAATGGACCTTCTATAGTTCGTGATTCGTTAACTGTTCTATAATACCACCATGAACTTTACGACTGTTTAGTCTTAGTGGTTTATAATACCTACAATTAAATTTATTATTAGGTAATTAATTAATTAAATTACTGAATATATATAAAAACATTTTATTGACCAATATAGTTTATTCAAACCAATAATATATAACAGGCAAAATTAAAAAAAAATCATGTGCAAGTGCTCGATAAACGGAATAAGTTGAGAGCTCATTGCTTACGGGGGCGACCATTGAATTAGCTTCCAATATTAGGTTAAGTACCTAGTCAAGACTTGAATTGGCTCCCAAGACAAGCAATATTGAATTGGCTTCCAATATAATTTTCAACAAATGGTTCTCAAAATATTAAAGTTCAAAAAGTACGCGACTTAAATTAAAATAATTAAAAATACAAATATTCCATCAAAATTGTTAACAAAAATAAAAATACGTGCATAGAAAAATATTAACTGATCTGTACTGTTTTAATATTATTTAGTAGGCTTAAATCTGTGTTCAAGAATTTTTATATATTTAAATCTGGATACTATACCATTGTCATATTTTATGAATTTAACTATCTATAAATTGTATTTTTTCTTGTATATTTTTCTTGTGAGGTCTTTCTACATTGGAGCTTCTTATAATAATTTCAGTATCCGTTTGAATACCATACAGATACAATACATCCATACAATTCAAAATATTTGGGTGCGTATAGAATAAAATTGAGAATTAAATGTTGAATGAAAAGATTCTCATGAATTAGTGGTACGACTAACACTACTGCTTTTTTCTACCCCAATTAGAGGTAGAAATAAAGAATTATTGTCAATATAATTTTCAACTAAGTAGTCTATAAATTTTCTAACTTTTTCATTATTTGGTTGTATCTCAACATTYTCAACTAGTTCGAATGAAAAGCAATCGCTGACTGATTGCGGATCTAGAAATGGTAGACCAAATATATACGTCAAATATTCACCAATCTTTGTTTTTTGTTCATACTCTGTTGAAAGGTCCAATTTTTGAATTGTTCTATACCATGATTGCCCTAGGTGAAATCGACAACCACGAATTTCACTCAACGGCCGAACTTTATGCAATGCGTTGTGTATAATAATTTCAAAATCAACATAATATACTTTTTTTATTTCCAATTGATTATTAAAAGTTTAACAAGAATTATTGATAATTTGAAAAATCTTTTTTGATTATTTTCCATCACGTGGACTGTGAAAAACTGATAAAAAAATTTTGTACAATACGATAATGTACCATCAACATATTATATTGTAGTCGACTTACTTAAAAATTTTAAATTGTCTTCTGTGCTAAATAATAAGACTCCTTTTTCCGCATCATTCGTTCGTAAAAATTGTTTACCATCAAATGTTTATTACATCCATGGTTTGTAAAAAATCGTGCACTTTTTGTCTGTATTTGGGTAGTTTTGGACGTACTAAGCTCGAGCTTGGAGCATATTGTGTTTGATGCATTTAACATCTTGCGTTGTAATTGAATTTTCCCTAAAATGCAACAATTTGAAAGGGCGTTCACATATACTTTCGATAGCATTCTATGTAGGTACAAATTACGACAAATTGCAACGAACTGTGACGGATACGAAAAGCGAGTACTGCGATTATTGCGTTTAATGATATCAGTTGATACCTGTATAGGATATATTATAAATACGTCGATGATTCTGACCGTTTAATGCGTTATCGGATTAACGAATTGATAATTTCAAGACTAACCGGCACTGTGTCGCTAAAAATATTACAATTTCGTACTTTTACAACTTCTATTTTTTWAAATGTATAATTGAATTTATTTTCGAACAATTTTGATAACCAATGGATTTATAAAATAAATGTGTAGGGAGCCAACTCAATGCATAAATCTTGGGAGCCAATTAAATACGTAAAAATGACGATTACTTGTGTTAGGGAGCCAACTGAATAGCTCCGATTACGGGTGGGTCAAAGAATGCGGGTCGCAGTACTCAGGAGACCGTTTTCATGTCACGGACATAATAGGAAAGGTATTTTCTAACTTCATTAAAATTCTTTCTAGCTTTTTCTGTTTTGCTTCAGTAAAAAAATATAATAAAAACACAATTATAACAATGATACATTTAATGATTTTCTACTTCTTAATTTTGGACACATTTTTGATGTTAAAACAAAAAACTAGAGACAGATTCAATGAATGTTTAGAAGCCGACAGGCCTAAACACAAAAGTCACGTGCGAGCCATCTTGATAAAGTATAGTAATTACTTACATGGGTTGAAAGATAAAACTATAAACCTTACTAACTCTCAAGGAGTTAATTTATTTAACTTTTATTATATTGAAAATAGTTCAGTAGTTATTGTCTTATTAGTCGACAGAAGACGAATAGACGAAGAGACTAATATTTGTTTTTATATAATATTAAAAATGCATTGCATTGGTATCATGTATATGTAGTAGGTATGCTCGTATAATAATAACTAGCACAGTATATGCTTGAGGTAAAAAAACTACATATGGAATTCCAATGTCAACCATCTATCGATTTTAATATAATGATGTGTCCAACGACCACGGCGTTTGGAGAAGAGTTAAGATTTGATTTTTCACTTTTTTAGTTGAATTTAATACTGAATGAACTTAAATTATAATAATTATAAATAACAATTATAATAATATTATAATATGATATTAATACGTATTTATGTCAAAAGTATGCAATCACTTAAGTGACGATTGTTACATTGTACCCAATTTTATATGCTATCTTGTTTACATAGTTAGATTACCTACCTAAATGTATAGAGTATTTTTAGTTTTATTTTCACGTCTTATTTAGCTTTTGTTTGACGTATACACTGTCAATTTTTTTATGTATCGGCTTATCTACTGTTTATGTATTAGTAAGTATCTGTATATACTCTCTACCTAGATTATAAATATAATATTGGTAACATAGTTGGAGAGACTTTACACTAGCACACAGTTATGAGATAATAATTTAATATAATTGTACTAAAATTATTACGATTTATRAGTATTGATTATTTATTTATTTCATCCAAAGAAATCTTCCGAAATATCTATCAGATATAACACTGTAGATATATCTAATATCTATACTACTAACATGGGTAGGTAAAGTAGTTAACTAATAATTTCATTGTAAGGTAGCTTTTTTTTAATATTAATTATTTTTTCACATACCCTTAAATATTGTTTTATCACACTTCAAAAAATTTAAATAGTTTTTTTCAAAATTTTAGTGGAACAATGGCTTATAAGTTTGTCTGATTTGAAAAAAATACTAATGTATTTTATTTTTATAATMTCTCTTGTAACCATATGTAGCAAGAAATTGCTAATAAAAGTTTAACACAGTAGATATAGTTTGTCTGAAATGTATTACAATCGAAATTTTTTTAATATCTATACATTCTATACGTATATACTTAGTTCTTATTTTTCTACAGAATATGAAGTACACAAGTTTGCAGGTTTCTATTGAAAAAAAATTGTTGCCTTTGAAATTAGAACCATAACCTACGATAAAAAAAAAAAAACATAGCAGAGGAAAATGAATATAAATTATAAAGTGATAGAGTGACAAGCTCATATTCATTCTTTATAACTATTCGTATAAATAATTGATCACAATATGAAACTATCAAACACCAAATTTCTCCTATTACTTATTAGATATTATTAATTTTTTTACATCATCATAATAACTATAGTGCTTAAAAGTTGATAAATTAAAAATCTTTTAGATTCTGAGCGGAGCGAGGAATGTATTGATTTTACCATGATRWGTGTTTTTWTTTTTTTTTTTTKTGTGTGTCATCACGTTTTGGGGCAGTAAAAGTGCTTTGATTTTCGACTTCAGTACCTCGTTCGATCAGAAAGTGAATCTAGTTGATACTTTAGGGGGTCAAAAATAAAAAATTCTCAATATTTTTCTAAATGATCGGGATAAACAAACTAAAAATTAAAGGGGAAAAAGGAATTTTTATGCACAATCAGTTTTCGATATAATCGATTTTGGTTTTTGATATAACTTTAAAACAAATGACCGTAGATACATGAAATTTTCGCCGAATGTTAATATAAATATATTCTATCCACCGTGCAATTTTCAAAAAATATCGACTTAAGTTGAACTATTTATAAGCATATGAAATTTTCGATCATTATTAGTTTTTTTWAAATTAATATCGATAAAAATGTATTTGTTGAGTAGAAAAGCTTGAAAATTTAATATAAGGCTTACAACAT